GGTATGATCGGGTGGTATCGGATACATGTTTGGAGGGTGGCTCCAGACAACTTAATTCGTTAACATATTAATAATAAACAACTTTTTTTATATAAGTATTAATATATTTAATATAGTACACAAACCTATAACAGTAATTATAACCTATAACTGTTTTCTCTTTATATAAATGATCTATCTCTTACCTCGAACATACTAAACTTTATTTTGTTTGCTGATGACTCCAATCTGTTTTATTCTCATAGGGATATTAATACCCTCTTTAAAGTAGTTAATGAAGAAGTAAACAAAGTAAATGAATGGTTTATTTGTAATAAACTTTCACTTAACGTTAACAAAACTAAATTTATTCTATTTCACAAACCAACCAAAACAGGAAACCTTCCTTTAAAATTACCCAATCTTAAAATCAATAATATAAATATTACTAGGCAAACAACTGTAAACTTTTTAGGTATTATTTTAGACGAAAGTTTAACATGGAAGAAACATATAAGCACTCTTGAAAGAAAACTTTCAATAAACATTGCAATGATGTATAAAGCAAAACCATTTTTGGATATAAGATCTCTAAAAAGTTTATATTTTTCCTTCATACATAGCTATCTAACTTACGGCAATATCGTATGGGCAAGCAACAGCTACGCTAAGTTAAAGAAAATTTATACTAAACAAAAACATGCATGTAGAATTGTATTTGGAGTGAAAAGAACTGTGCCTTGTGAGCCACTTTTACGTAAACTCAATGCATTAAATGTGTTTAAAATTAACATATTCCTCGTCATACAGTTCATGTATCAAATAAAACATGGACTGTCTCCAGCGATATTCTATCCTTATTTTAGAGAAGTAAGCCATAAATACCCCACCAAGTTCTCAGAAAATAACTTTGTAACTCAAAAGTATAATCTAAAGTTATGTTCTTATTCTATTCAGTACAGGGGTCCAATTTTGTGGAAAAACTTTCAGCATATTGTTAATGTTAAAGAAAAAACACTTCCGCAATTCAAATCTAAATTAAGACGTTATTTAGTACTTACGGATTTTAATATAGCAGATCTTCTATGTCACTTTTAAAGCTTTAAAATTTATTAAACTAAATTAACACCATAAATTTAAAAATCTAGACCATTTAACAGTACTAAGAATTTCAATGTCTTTATCATACTTTCATTGAATATATATATTCTCTTAAAGTTACCTACAATTTTCTTGATATATTTTATAATATTAGAACAGAATTTTTATTTGAATTTTGAATTATTTTGAAAGAAAATAATATATATAAATATATATGTCGAATCACATCCAATTTATAACCAAAAACAGAAAATTTTTGTCATTTTTATTACTATATTTTAATCATTTCTTTTTATTTTTTTTTATTTATCTTCAATTATTTTAATACTTTTTTTTTTCTTTTTTTTCTTTTTAACTTTGTTTCTTAACATTTTAAATTGTCTTTTTTTAAGTACTTTTGCTTATATATTACGGATTATTATGTATTACGGGTATTTATTTGCGTTAATATTGGGGCTCGGTAATAAGGCTATTTTATGCCTTCTTGCTCCAGCCAATTGTACTTTTTATATTGTTGTACTTTGTAAATATTTTTAACGGCGAAATAAACTAATAAACTAATTCATTTAATTTCAATAAAAAAACATTAGATTTGAAAAAAGTGTTTTTAAAGTGTTTATTTTCATTATAAAAAAGCTTATGTTTGTATTTTTAAATGATGACATTTTTATTCTCATTCCTTATATATCAAAGGCGATTTTTTTTTAAATGTGTCGAGAACAGTCTAACGCTAAATTATTTTATATTACATTTGTTTTACACTGGTAAAAAAGTGGTAAAATCACATTTAAACTATGTGTCCGGGGCTACCCTCCAATTTTGAAACATGCATTTTTTTTCAACATTTTTTTTTTTATGTTTTGTATATTATTAAGATAAACAATAATTATTTTTTTGTTTTTTATTCGATAGATGAATGTTTGAACTTTAAAAAAAAAATATTTTTATACTTTTTTTTCTGTTAGCACATATGCACAATCTATATTTTCCTAAAGTGTCCGGGGCTACCCGACTCTCCCCTATATAAATCCAGATCATATTTAAACAGAAAAGCCTTAACCCAACTTTATTACTCATTTATTCACACGTATATAAATTATACCAACATAGCTCGGGGAAGCACCGAAAAAAGTTAAAATGCCTTTATTGCCGTCAGAAAGCATGCGATCCGATTGATTAATTTTGCGGATCGTTTTACTCATTCCAAACCATTATTTATGGAGATAAAAATACTTAATATTTACTAGCTCAATGTTTACAACATTTTAAGCTTTAATTACATGTGGAAAAACGATTTAACTTTACCTATCTTCAAAGACCTTTTTTTTTAAACCCAATTAAAAAATATTTACTTAGAAAACCAATTTGAAGAACAAAATTTAACAAATTTTGCATCATATTTCGAGCACCATATTTATGGAATAAAATTGTTATACCTAATTTTTATATATCCAATACTTTTCCGATGTTTTAAAGTAAACTTAAAAATTTTATTTTATCTATTGACGATATATTTAAATACTTTTCATAACAACCCCCCCCTCCCCAATTGACACGCGTCATCCAGAGGTCGTCCGTTAAACGTCCAGAAGTCCGACAGACGTTCCCCCGGACGACGCATGCCCACTGGAAAGTATTTGTCTTTTCAATTGTAAGACTGTTGTATTTTTTCTTTCCTATTATAAAGAGATGTCTTACTGTATTTACTTTGTATATATATATATATATATATATATATATATATATATATATATATATATATATATATATATATATATATATATATATATATATATATATATATATATACTTATCAGATTATTGTTATAAATAACATTAGTGGTTTGATTTATATCTTCAATTTATATCACGAATTTTTTTAGTCTTGTTTTGTATCGATGTATAAAAGGTACTTATGATAAGATCATTACGAGCTTATTTCAGAAGCCTTTGTTACATAGTTATTTAAATTATGCTAATATTGATTGGGGAAGTACAGAAAAACGTTACGAAAAACGCTGCAACGTCTTTATCTACGTCAGAAACGCGCAATCCAATTTTGCAAATCGCTTCTCTTATTCGAAGCATTATTTTATTGAAATAAGAATTTTAAATATATACAAGTTTAATGTATTTTAGTATTTTATGATTTGTATATATATGGATAAATAACTTATCCCTAGCGTAAACTAAGATATAAATTAAAAAGTTAAAAGTATAAGAACAATAAATAAATTAAGTTGGAATAAACAGACAAATATGTATATAAATATGTATATAAACAATAAAATATGTATATAAACAATAAAAAAGTAGACCCAAACATATTTTTAACTTTTACTACTAATAATGACTTAAGATATATTCTAGTAAAATTAAAACATTTTTATTCCAAAGGTGTGGCGCTCGATAGGTAAAACAAAATTGATTAAACTTTGTTTGATAAAAAGGCTCACTTAAATAGTTATTTCTCAAAATAAACTGATTGGGTTAAAAATAAAAAGATCTTTATGAGAAGATCATTTAGATCTTTCTTCAGATACAAAGATTATTAACCTTGCAATTTTGTAAAAGTTGATTGATTTTTTGTTTATCTTATCCTTGTTAAATGTTTATTTAAGGTTCTGAAGACAAGATTCTCGCGATCTTCTTTCAGAACTTTGTTATAAAGCAATTGTGAAAATAAAATGAAGAAAAAAATGTCTCGAACTACCCCGCTCTTGAGCATATTGCAACAGCGAAAGGGGTAAGTTCAGAGGGGTAAGTTCAGAGGGGTAAGTTCAGAAGGGTAAGTTCAGAGGGGTAAGTTCAGAGGGGTAAGTTCAGAAGTTGCAACACAATACTTTGAAAGTATTAATCTTGAAGAGAATCCAAAAATTATAATTTATAATTATATATTATAATTATAAAATATTATTAGTTACTTTGTAATTTTAACTACTTCACATAAATTTTATACTTATAACAAATAAAAAGTAAAATGCAGAAAATGTCTGTAGACTCGAAGTATTTTCTATGAGCTGCAATACTTTTATAATGTGAAACTTCATATAGGTCAGACATATTTACTAAAATTATAATAAATAACGTTTTAAACAATTTTTGTAAACATTTTCATTTACTGTTATAATAAAAATATTCATTATTTTAGAAGAGTGCTTAAACTCAAGTTATATTATAATTAAATTTACCCCTAATTAGTTTGATAAAACTTACCCCATAGGCATCATGATCAGTTTAATCATTGTATTTAGTTATTTACTTAAAATTATTTTATTTTAGTTTTTTGTGTTTGAAAAAGATTTTTTCAGCCATTATTTTACTTTGTTCATATACCTTTTAGTATTCAGTAAAACCAAAATAAACGCAAGTTAGAATTTATATCGAAAAAAAAAATTTAAATAACTTTTTCAGTTTTTATTTTAACATTATAATTTTTTTTTGGAGATATTTTTATAACTTTTTATTTTAAATCTTAAATTTACTTATTTTTTTCTTTTTGTACATCTTGAGGTTTGTATTGTCTTTTATTAATTTGTGTCATATTTTTTTGTTTTTTGACTTTTGTCAATTTTAAATATATAAAAAAAAATTTTAAGGGTATTATAAAAAAGTAATATCTTATAAAATAATTGCTTTTAATGTAAAAATACCATGGAAACGTCAGAGTGATAAGACTACTATTGTCTTCTTTTTGCTCCAGCCTTATTTATACATTTTGATATTGAAGCAATATTTAAACGGGCATTATATATATATATATATATATATATATATATATATATATATATATATATATATATATATATATATATATATATATATATATATATATATATATATATATATATATATATATATATATATATATATATATATATATACACACACAACTTTTATATGAAAAAGGTTTTTATAAATTCAAGTTTTTAAAATATTATTCATCATGTGGTGTAAAATGTCAATATTTTTTTAATTCTTTATTTCATTGCGTTTATTGCAGCTAATATAGCGTCTGTAGTTTCTTCGCCGGTTGGTTTAATTTGATCGGCTGGCAACACAAATCCATAACTTCCGTTGTCCCGTAACTCTAACGCAAACGAATAGATTACGCCCAAATAGCCGTAGGTCCAATCTATACTTCCACCTGATGCTGGATCTAAAGACAAAATTTTAAATAATATTTATATAAAACTTAGCTTATATTGAAATATCACCTTGAAAAAGGGCGTAACTCTCTATTGCGCTTCACCAGATACTGGCTGAGCATTGTTCCAGCATCGTATTTTATTGGGGCAATGAATTCACATTAAAAAATCTAAATTTTACCTGTCTCATTTATTGGCATATTTATTCTAACATTTTTTTTATTACTAGGAATCAAATGTCTCCTAACCATAACCTTTTTCTCCTTATATCAATAAGGTATAAAATTAAAAATACTTTTTAATATAAATTTTTATTGCTTTAAATGAATGGAGTATTAAAAATGTTTTTACTATAAATACAAATGTGAAAAGTTTTGTTTTTTTGATTTTTTTTTAAACAACGTTGTTTTTGCTCGATAGCTCTGTTATCATAATTTGTAAGTTATATGCTAATTTTTTAGAGTTCATCAAAGTTTTTTTACTTCAAGTGTGGTGTCACCAGCAAACAAATGCTGTTTTAGAAACACGTGTTATTTTAGAAACACGTGTTGTTTTAGAAACACGTGTTGTTTTAAAAACACGTGTTGTTTTAGAAACACGTGTTGTTTTAGAAACACATGTTGTTTTAGAAACACGTGTTGTTTTACAAAAAAATAGTGTTTTAGTGAAAAACATTTTTTTTAACTTATTTTGGTAGTATTGTTTATATAACTAGCCAGTTTAAGCAAAAATTATTGCTACTAAATTTGCCGTCACTATTTTTTTAAATAACTTTTAAACAATGATGAAAATACGATAAAAGAGATAACTGCTGGATAAGATACAGCTTAACAGAGCACAAAAACAAAGCAACTTTTATGATACTTTCAACAGCTTTTTTGGAAACACTTCAGATTTTACATAGTATAAATTATCGTATTTTCATCATTGTTTAAAAGTTACTTAAAAAAAAGTTAACTGCAAATTTAGTAGCAACAATTTTTGCTTAAACTGGCTAGTTATATAAACAATACTACCAAAATAAGTTAAAAAAAATAAGTTTTTGCTGTAATTTACAGCTACACGGTAAATCGACATTACTTTGTATGTGTTTAAAATCAATTAATTTTTTGATTAAGTGTTTTATATAACTTTGATTGGTATAGTTATCTGTGATAAATTTATACCTAGGAACTTATGTTCTCTTTGATTTCGTTAACACTTTTTTAATGCTTTTAACTTTTGATATTTTTTTTTTTATATGTGTATTGTTTTTCAGATTTTCATTCATTTTTATATTAGTTTTTTTATTTTATATTTAATAAACAAGTGTTTTTCTAGGAACACTTGTTAACGTGTTTTCTAGGAACTTATAAAACAAATGCTAATTTTTTTACCAATTTCCATAGTCTATTTAACACGATAGCATTATACATAAGATACCAGTAATTTTAGGCATTATATTGTTTCAAGCTAGAGTAGATATATGTAATAAAAGTTGGAGTAGATATATGTATTAAAAAAAAATATATGTTTTACATATATATATATATATATATATATATATATATATATATATATATATATATATATATATATATATATATATATATATATATATATATATATTTATATATATATATATATATATATATATATATATATATATATATATATATATATATATATATATATATGTATATATATGTAAAACATATATATTTTTTTAACCCATATAATACTTTTGTGTATGTTGTTAAGTTGTTAAGGTGGTTTTATATGAACTAATTAATATAAACTAATTAGCTTATGGATTCAAATAATTAATCTAATAATCAATTACTAAATTTTTTTTAACTATTAAACTATATAAACTGTATACGATGACTATATTTTTATACAGGCCTGTTCTTTTAATTGTAATAAGCGATTTGTACAGCTCCGTTGGTCACTTTTTGCGATCATTGTGTCGCATATGCAGAAAAATTTATTCTTTGTGGCTGGTGAGCCCCGACTTTTTCCAATGTACACTACAAAGAAAAAACGGACATTAGGCTATCCCGCTGGATGTGGTTATGGCGCTCAATAACCTAACGACTACGCTGACACTCACGCACACGTTCAGTCGGAAGCTCTGCAATGCACGTCGGATCAGCGCTCGCTGACCATGTGCTCGGATCTGAAATCTCACTTCATTGCACATCATTCCACACCAGCACGGGGCAGTAGCTCTTTTGGTTAAGAGTGATGGCTTGTGGCTACGGTGACTAATATGTGCATTCGATCAATTGAAATCCATTCTTTAGGTCTCACGTCTGGCTCTGATGTGCTAGCCCATTAGCGCAAGAAGTGAGTGTGTTTAGTTTTCTATTCACCCGATTTGAAAGTGAACAGAAACATAACGAGACCGTACTAGACGACAAACGGTACGTACTAGTGCACTACACCATCACACCTGTAGACATCAACAGTCTTCAAAATCAGTATATCAAATATTTGTTCTTTGTTACATATGATTTACACACAGAGTGATTAGAGAGTTAGTTGGTTCTCTCCCTGCCCCCCTATCATTTAACTTCGTTCTTTACCTTCACAAAAGTCTTATCACTCATTTTATATTTTCTTATGATTTTTATTTTTTATTCAATGAACTCCATCTTCTAACTGTTTTTATTATCACATCTCTCAGGTCTACGAAACTGGACGGCTCCGTTGGTCACTTTTTGCGATCATTGTGTCGCATAAACAAAAAAATATTGAAAATTATCATCAAAACTTGTTATTAAAGTATTAAAATTGAAAAATTACAAAACAAAATCTTACAAATTTCTTGCACTAAAATTATATTTTATATGACTATATTATCAAAAGATTTACGCATAGATATATACAAAAACATATTTTATTTACGCATTTTCATTTACGCATAGACATATACAAAAACATATTTTATTTACGAAACACATTTTAATATGAAACTAAATTTAAACAGATCAAGCAAAAATGTAATATAAGACAAGTATTAAAATTACTTACAGTAATTTTAATATTTGCATTATATTACATTTCAATATTCTCTTTATCATGCTCGCCATTATCTAACTCCTAATTCCATTCTTTTACAAATCTCTTATTCTTCCATGTATGGAATACTGTAGTCATATAAGTACTGGTTCTTCTAATGATGCTCTTTCTTTTTTAGATAGGGTATAAAAACACATTGTAGACGTAGTTGGACCTGCTTTATCTGCCAAACTTGAGTCTTTCTGCGATTGTTGTAAAGTTGAATCTTTTTCTTTCTACAAATACTATAATGGTTGTTGCTCAAAAGAGCTATCATATATAGTTTCGTCAACCAAAACTCATCCTCACTTGACTCGTCATTTAATGAAATCAAATCTATTACTGTACCTGTCTCTGCATGCTCTAAAACCTTTTAGTCGTCTAGCTTTTATCCACGCACTTCAACACTTTGGAACTTAAAAATAGAATAATAAAAATTTGAAACTTTAAATAAATTTCAATTATCAAATGGGTTTATAGTTTTTAAATAATCTCTTTATGAAAAATTAGTTTTTTGAGCTTTTAATAACCCAGTACAAGAAGTATTTTAAACGCCTTAATAAAGAACATAATAAAAGGTTTTTTTTACGCGTGTTCACCACACCTTCTGTTTAATGAGAAAGTTTTGTGTTTTTAAAATTTATCGGTGTATTTGATACATTGTCACAGTATGTCTTTTATTTGTTGTTACGATGCGTTCATTATTTTTTGTAACAGCGTGATTTACTGTTTTGTAACAATGTGTTCGTATTATACTTGTTTACATTATATTTGTTTACATAATCTACTAATATATTATATTAGTTTATATCATATTATTATCACAACATGTTTTCAATTTGCTTAGATATTTTAGACCTCCTTGTGTTTTTCAAATCTCCTTGTGTTTTCTATTAAACCTCCTTGTGATTTCTATTAAAATGCTTCGCTAATTTTATGTTAAATTTAACGAGGTTTAAATAAGCGTTTTCAGGAAAACATTTTGAAAAATAGAAAACAAAAGATAAAATTTATTAAACTTGTAGTCAAAACTCGCTGATTTTTAATTTGCAGTTATCAAATTTTAAAAGTTAGTTCTAGCAAGCAAGAGCAGCTGGCGAAAAGTTGATTTCAAAACAACCCAATAAAACAAAATTAAAAAAATATTTTTAAAAAGATTAATATTGTTTCAAACTTAACAACAACTTCAACTATTTTTATCTGTATTGTTTTTAAAACTATAAATAAATTTTTATTTATATGTATTTCAAACTTACATAGAATGTTTGCAGGCGATCCAGCACGGTATTTGGTCCCGTAGCGTCTGCTAACTACATCTGTAAATATTTTGCTAATTCGCACCTATAAAAATCACATCCAAAAATATTAAATATTTATCACGCGTTATCACAGCAAGCAGGTCATTGCAACAATCGTCTAAAAGCATAAGTTACAATGCTAAAACATACAAACTCATCTTGATCAGAAGCATCAGTTGTTGTGTATGACCACGGTGTTAGAAATAACTGGCTGTATGCATGCAAGTTCCAATACGATTTTAAAGTAACTGATTTTGCTAATTTCTCGAGGAAACCAGCAACATTTTTAACTTCAATTTCTGAAAACGCACTCAAGCCACGGTATGACTCTTTACAGGGCTCGTTACTGGCACCTTTTTCTAATTATGAATATATATATATATATATATATATATATATATATATATATATATATATATATATATATATATATATATATATATATATAAAATAAAATAGTAATAATAGAACATAGAAAATTATGTTAAAGAAAATTACCTCCCCACTTATACGCAAAGTTTCGATTTGGGTCTGCACCTTTGCAACTTGCAAATGGGTTTATACTTAGTGTATTTCTCCAAAGTCTTTGTTGAGAGCCACCAAACGTGTAGCGATATCCGTCAGGATTGAAAACAGGTAAAAGATAAAAGTCGTATTTTGATAAAGCTAACTGGACATCTGGTCCGGAATCAGTCAGAAGCTTAAATCAAAAAGAACTTTTTAGCAACAATAACAATCAATCGTCAAAACAACTAGACTTAACTACTTAAGCTTCTTGTACAATTAAGCCAAACATATTTTTGTGCTAGCAGGCGCATTGCACTTTGAAAATTCGTATTAACTAGCTTGATGAATAAATTTTGTTAAGATCAAGTTGCGTGAAAAATGTATTTTTTTGTAAGACAATCTTGACAATATTATTGTTAAAAGTTAAATAGAAACTAAATTTCCTACTATCCTCAATTAAAACCTTTTTTCAATTAAAATACTTACTTTTTGTCCGTAATTCCCCCATTTGGAGTTAAGTTCTTACTTTTGGTTGCTAGTTCTCTGTATTTAAAATTAAGCTAAATTATGCGGATCTTGATATAAAATTCCTATTCGACAAATTTGTTAAAAAAATATAAATCACTACTTTTGCTTTTAAAGCAATAAACTCAAAATTTTAGGAATACTAAATTAAAGTAACAGTGATCAAATGCAACCCCAACCATGTCAGTTTTGAATTCAGCACAACCTAAAAGGTTACCATAGTACTTTGAGCCAGCTATTCATATTTAGTTGTAAAACCAACAAATTAACAACAATAGTAGTCTAACTAAACGCCAACTTAGTACAACATGCATAACACCAACGTCAACACAATGACAGCCAGCTATACGCCAACGCAGCATCAACATAAAAGAAACTATAATACTTTATTATAAAAATGACAAATACGTTGGGCTATGAGTGGTTTAGTGTGCTGCTAAGCTATTGTAATGAATGATTATTTATTCATAATAATTTTAGTTATTAAATTGTTATAAAAGTTAAAAAAAAATATAATAAGCACCAGTTAAGGAATAAGTAAAAGTATCATACTCTGTTTATGAAAAACATTACAGTAGCTGTTGATATCCACTCTCTGGCGTGAATTCCTCCATCTATCCACACAGCAGGCTTTGAAATTGCGTCTCCATTAGTTATCTTTAAAAAATTTATAAAACTACAATCAGTTCTTTAGTTTTTTATAAACAAAATTTACAAATACATTATTTACATTTACAAAAATAAGCAATAGGAACCGTATTTTACAAAGTAACCAACTTTTTATTTTTTAAACATCTTCGCTTTCAATAAGGCTGCAAGCAAACATAATTAGAGTTAAAAGTTATTGGAAGAAAAAAGATCAAGATTGTAGAGCAAGATAACGATTGACAGACAACCTAAAATATTGCAAATTATATGAATCAAGAAAGCAAGATGAAGGAAGCGAGTTCCAAAGAACTGATGTTTGAGGAAAACAAACTAGAGGAATAAGAGTTTTTGGAGCACTTAGGAACAGTCACAGAAAAAGGATGAGACTTAATTGAATGACGAGTAACACGAGAATAAATTTTAGTAGAAGCACAAGAGACGCTAGCTCTTTAGAGCAGGCCCATTATTGTAATTGTAGAAAGGAGAAAGTGAAGCAAAATTACGAAGATGTGATAATTGTTAGAGATTGGCTGCAAGAGCAGGTCCAACTATGTTTAAAATGCGTTTTTGCATCTTGTCTAAAAGAAAAAGGGCATCATTGGAAGATCTGCCCCAGAAATAGCAACAGTATTTATACAAGCTCGGATTTGAGATTTATAGAGATAGAGAATAGAATCCGGAGTAAGAAAGTGTTGAGCTCGATAAAGAGATGCAACCTTAGCAAATGCTAATTTTGCAACGGATTTGATATATGGTTTTCCAGAAAGATCAGAAGTATGAGTTAATCCTAGAAGATGAAGGGTAGATGACTCATCGAGTACATTACTGTTCATAAATAAAGGAAGGTCTAAATTATTGCGATAACGATTGGCTGAAAAAATTTGAGTTTTATCTGAATTAAAGTTCACCAGCCAATGTGAGCCCCATGCTGTAGCAGAAGTGAGATTCTTTTCAAGCTCAAATGCCCCCTCAAAGCAGTCAGAGAGTGTCGGCTTCTTATCAAAACAAGAATAAATGGTAGTATCATCAGCGAACAATGCCACCTTGTTCGCTGATGATACTACGATTGATACATACTGATGTGAGAATATCTTAACGATCGTTAATGTAAATTAAAAAGAGTATAGGGCTAAGGATTGAACCTTGAGGATCCCCTGAAATTACAGAATCAAAAGAAAAGTGCTGTCTATCGAGGACACATTTTATACTACAATTGGAAAGGAAGGATTCAATAACCTTAAAGAGGTTGCCAGATACACCGCATGCCAAACTTTATCAAAAGCTTTAGAAATGTCAAGAGCGATGGCCTTCACCTCTCCACCTTTATCTATTACACAAAAAACCTATCAAATATTACTGTCAGCAAATCAGCTGTAGAACGAGAAGATCGAAATCCATATTGATAATCAGAAAGTAATTTATAAGGTTCAAGATGAGAGATTAAGTGTTTGTTAATTAAAGATTCAAAAATTTGCTTATGATAGGAAGAAACTTACGAGATGGTATCAAAAATTCATCAAAAAATAAGTTATTTTAAATAAAATACTGTTTACTATTTTTTTATAATTATTATTATAGTTTTATTATATACAACAAAGGTCAAAAATATAAGTGGTTTTTTAATGCCGAAAATTTATAAAATTATCAATTAAAATTTCGGAAAATATTTTTCAAACATAAAATTTTTACATTTTTTAAAAAGTAATAAGTATACATATAGTCTTCCATTTTGTTTTTTAGGATTTAAAATTATAAATTGCGTTGCATTTTAAAATTTTGGGTTTACTGATTACATAATTGCTGTTACATAATTACATAATTACTGTTGACATGATTGTTGCAATCAGTTATATAAATATTGCAACCAAATACATAAATACACAAAAAAAATCAAGAAAGATTTTGAAATTTACAACTAAACATTAAACGCGAACTCATTTTTATTCAAGAATAAATTGTCTTAGTTCCACTGTTTATGTATACGAAATCATTTTTTTGATAAGATGCTCTGCAATATTTGACTGTCATCTCTTGATAGTTATCTCTAAGATTTATTAACTGAATTTGGCTACTAGCACCACAACGAATTACAGTATTTTTTTCTAATATGGATGCAAGAGGTATGGAAGTAGTAAGAGGTATTGAATTTGACAGGTGCTTATTTCATTATCAATTTGTAAACCACTATAATGAGGCCCCAGTAGACACAGTACGTTTTTAAAAAGTTTTTTAATGTTTTTATCAGGTTTAAAACTAATTAAAACGTTCAAAGAACGTTTAAAAAACGTACCGTGCCTACTGGGGCACATAAATTTTTATGTAATTCATTGCAACAATTATGTATTTAATTGAATTAATTATGTAGTAACTCGTTAAAAGAAATAGTAAATATATTACACAAACGCATCAATTACAATTGAATGTACTTTTTCAAAACTTTTTATATCAAAGATTTCTATGATTAAAATTTTGATAAAATTATTATGAACCTTAAATTGCAGTTGTAATATTTTCCTGGCTAAAAGCATTATTGTACAGTATTATTGGCTAGTTAAAAATAATACAATTGGAAAGTTTGGCAAAGTTACAAAAGCTATTGTTTACTATTACTACTATGACTGTTTAAAAAAAAGCAAGTTGTTTTAGTTTTTGAAATAGTTTTTTTTTTGAAATAGCAAGTTGTTTTAGTTTAGAAATAGTAAATATATTACACAAACGCATCAATTACAATTGAATGTACTTTTTCAAAACTTTTTATATCAAAGATTTCTATGATTAAAATTTTGATAAAATTATTACGAACCTTAAATTGCAGTTGTAATATTTTCCTGGCTAAAAGCATTATTGTACAGTATTATTGGCTAGTTAAAAATAATACAATTGGAAAGTTTGGCAAAGTTACAAAAGCTATTGTTTACTATTACTACTATGACTGTTTAAAAAAAAGCAAGTTGTTTTAGTTTTTGTTTACCTTCAAACCATTTATAGTTTGATTTTCAAACGAGTTTCCAACGTGAAAAACTTTTGCATTTTTGTATTTTCTTTCAAGATTTGAAAGTTCAAAACGGATCTAAAAAATTGTTAACATTATTATTATCATCATCATCATTATCATCATCATCATCATCATCATCATCATCATCATCATCATCATCATCATCATCATCATCATCATCATCATTATCATCATCATCATCAACATCATCACTTTAATAGCAATATACTCATACATTCGAATACTGGTTGTATTTATAGTAGTCAAATTTTCCAGAATACCCAAAACTTTTGCTTTCTATGTTTTCTTGTTGAAGAAGTAGATCTAGATCATCAATCATAATAGAATATGAAAAATTATTTTTATCTAAAAAGTCGATGAATCTGCTTTGAAACTCATCTTTGACTTGGATATCAACTGGATTATTTGGGATGCTTGGCTCCTTCCATACATTTATCTAGAGTAACATAAATATAATATTATTAAATTATTATATCATTTAAATAGCAATTCAAAATATTTTTCTAACCCTAACTGTTACCAATTTACAGAAATAAAAGGTATTTTAACATTTAATTTACCATTTTATTTATGATTATTTATTTATAAGTTTTTAACTACGTTTTAAGTGTTGAAAAGTATCAAAAATTAATTATAAATTCCTGTAAACTAATAAATTTTTTTAATAAATGGAATTTAATAAAGATTTAATAATAAAAGTTTATAATAAAGACACCACCACCATCATCATCATTTCAAATATCTGAGATTAATCACTAACCTCAATTACTACTTCAAACATCAAAGATTAAGCAACAACTTCAAACATCTGATAAAAACTTGAAGTATTTTGGGGAAAAATTAGACATTATTTAGTTTTCTTGTATTTTATCGATCAAGAAGGTTTATGAGTTATTACTTCTATTGTTGTATTTTGGTTTATAGATGGTTTATAGATGGTTTATAGATGGTTTATAGATTGGTTTATAGATAATAGATTATGATTACTATGATGTATTGTTATCCTTATTTTCTTTGAGTTCTTGTCTGTTTAATAGATACATTTTCTTTTTTAAAAGAATTGTTAATTGTTTTTTCAATAGGCTATTTAATAAAAATGGAGCTCTTTTACCATCACTTAAAGGAAAACAATTATTTATTGTGCAATATAGCATATATAAATAAATAAAATTTTTTATAGTATAAACCAGGCTTGTGAAGCCGAACCGGCGTCGGGGAACCGCTGTTTTTGGGTGAAGCCGGAGCCGCAAAAATCTAACGGCTCTTTGCTCTAGTCTTTTTTTAAAGCAATATAATGTATGTTTTTTTTTTTAATTATTGTTGACAAATTTTATTCATTTATTGTTTAACTAACTTGTTGAATGAATTATTTATTAAATTTCTTTTTTTTTTTCAATTTTTTTTTGTCTTTGGAGCGTTTTGAGCGTCTTATGAACGTTAAGGACGTCATTTGAACGTTAAGGACGTCTTTTAAACGTTAAGAACGTCCTTTGAACGTTTAAAAGACTTCTTTTTTAGGTCCTCTAATGACTGGGTACCCAGTGGGCTCGGGACGTAAGACGTCTTTAAACGTCTTTTGAACGTTTTGGACGTCTTTGTAACGTTCAAAAGACGTCAATTTTTTGTGCCCACTGGGTTAAATTAGAACTAAAATTAGAACTAAAAACTCTAGTTTTGGGTTAATATTATATAAAAAAAAAATGCAAATTTACCCAAAACATTTTTCTTTTCAGTTGTAATATGCGATAGTAGAGTAGTGATAGTAATACATTAATTATGTAATCATAAAAGTTGGTTAAAAATTAATTGCTGTAATTTGTTTGAATTTAGTTTGGCAAATGTGATATCAATTTATTCTTAACTAGTAAATGTAAAAAAATACTCAAAAAATTGTAATTTTTGCTCATAAAGTACGGGAGCCGGAGCCTAGCCAGATCCGGACATTTTTTAGTAGCCAGAGCCGAGCATTAAAAAAACTTTCGGCTCCACGAGGCTGGTATAAAATGCTTTACGAATTTTTAGACAAAATTATTGAACAACAAAATTAAACAACTGAAACTAGAAAAAGCAGGGAATTAAAAGTATGTTTACAAGAACAAGACAAACGCTATTGGAATTAACTTGTAACAATGTTCTGGGCCTAAACGGATTTCATGAATATTGTTTAAAAATCGGCTTTAACAAAAGCAATCGGCAGCCACTCATACAGTATCATCTAGATGAAAGTACTAAGTGATAAGACCGTTAGGACTTCTCGGAACACATTAATAACTGGTCAAAAAAAAAAAACTTAAACATTTAACTTGCCTAAAGAATAAAATGAGGTCAACAAAATTAGGTAAGAAGAGGGAAAGTCTTTGAGAGCCTGAGATATTAAAATACTACTTACACAGCAACAAAATATTATCAAAAAGAAATTTTGGACTAAAACATCAAAAAATTGTCTTTTATTTGAAGAGAGTAGAAATTATTAGTAAAGTAAAACAGAACAATCCGAGTAAACCTGCACTTAAAAAAATCAGGAAAACACAATAAATAAGGACATAAATCACTCTACACCAATCTTATAAAGAATTTACTAAAAAGAATATTTTTACGATGGTTATTTGAAAGTAAAATAATGCTGAAGTAGGTTCTTTGAAAATAATCTGCTCAAAAAGCGTAAATTTACACAACTGCCCAGAAAAACAAAACGCAAATTGAAAGAATCAAAATATTTTGTCAAGAGAAACCTTCAAGAGAACCATTCAGGGACAATTTGATTTGACGAAAAAGAAATGAACAACGTTTGTTGTAGGAAACATAAGGTCTGAGTGTTAAGCAAGTCTAAATTCAAGTTATATAATCTATGCTTTCATTGATTAAAGTTATATCATCTATGTTTTCATTGATTTGGTATTAACCACGTTAGCAATTAATAAAAAAATGAAAGTCGCAACTGTCGCAACTGTCTTTTGCATAAAAAAAAAAATTCGAAGTTAATAAAGGAAGAAAAACCTTTTCTGCTCGTGGCGTATTTAAGTGAATGAAAAACAATTAATAAGAATCAACGTTTTACTAGATAATGCCAGTACTCAAACATGGCAAACAGTAACATAGACAGCAGAACTTGATAACAAAGCATAAATAATAAATAAAACTTAATGTGAATCATCATCTTACTAAAAAATATTTAATGTGATGGTAATTTACACGATGGTGCGTTGATAAATCCAAGTTTTGTTATAACCTTTAATCGAATAATTAGATTAAGTTATAACGAAAAAAATAGTTCTAGAGGTGTTACAATTTAGACAATGCTCTAAAACAAAAAAAGTTTTTTTAAATAATTTTTTTGTTGTGGATGTTTAGGTGCTTATGTCTTATAACAGAGGTAAATAGGAGAGCATTTAAACAGGAAGTTCACGCCTTTTTGCTTACCAATGTTGCTTATGTGGCCAGAGCCGACTTCAAACTTTGGACCTCTTGATTTTGAACCAGGACTCAAACACAACTTCTTAGTTAGAACCAGGACTCAAACACAACTTCTTAGTTAGAACCAGGACTTAAACACAACTTCTTAGTTAAATAGTTAACAGAGTTGCTGTTGGCTCCTTAGGCTGAAATTTGACAGAGTTATTGGTGACACTTAAACAGTGGCGGATTAAGATTTTTCGGGGCCCGGGGCTATTTTTTTGTGTGCCACAGCGTAAAAAATGACTAAAAAAAAAAGGTCCTCAAATCTTTTTTGTGGCTCCTAAAATTGCGGGACCCCGGGGCTATATCCCCCTAAACCCTTCTTAATCCTGCACTGCATTCAAACAGTATACTTGAAAAAATATAAAAAATAATTTTGATTTCTTAAAAATTGTATTGTTTAATAATTTAGGTCAGCAGATATTATTATTAAATGTTGAAAAAGTAATCAAGAACTCAAAACTTTTTAAAAGGCTGAAAATAAGCGACCTTCCCAGAAGGTTTAATCTCGAAAAGTCTAAAATATAAGAAAATTTACGAAAAATTCTTTCGAAAAAAACTAAAAACTAAAAACAAAAAAATCTAGTTACATTTCAATGGTTCACTTCAATCACTTTAAACGAGTTTGGAACCAACGCAAGATTTAACCAGATTTTTGTTAGACGTCCAATAGACGTCTTAGGGCGTCTAATGTCCGCTGAGTCTATATACTGAAATCTATCTTAATCTATTTAAATATTAGACGTATTCTATTTAAATATTAGACCAATTAAAAAAAAAATTTGGTCCGATAAATGGACAAAGAAAATGTAAATTTCTGTTGATGCGCGACTGAGAGTAGTTTAGGCTTTCGTTGTTTTCTCAAAATCAGTTTACTCGGATTGCGTTTTACAAGTTAGATCTTTTTTATTTTAGAAAATAAATTTTATTTTAGAAAATAAATTTTGTTTTAGAAAATAAATTTTATTTTAGAAAATAAATTTTATTTTAGAAAATAAATTTTGTTTTAGAAAATAAATTTTATTTTAGAAAATAAATTTTATTTTAGAAAATAAATTTTATTTTAGAAAATAAATTTTATTTTAGAAAATAAATTTTATTTTAGAAAATAAATTTTATTTTAGAAAATAAATTTTATTTTAGAAAATAAATTTTATTTTAGAAAATAAATTTTATTTTAGAAAATAAATTTTATTTTTGAAAATAAATTTTATTTTTGAAAATAAATTTTATTTTTGAAAATAAATTTTATTTTTGAAAATAAATTTTATTTTTGAAAATAAATTTTATTTTTGAAAATAAATTTTATTTTTGAAAATAAATTTTATTTTTGAAAATAAATTTTATTTTTGAAAATAAATTTTATTTTTGAAAATAAATTTTATTTTTGAAAATAAATTTTATTTTAGAAAATAAAGAACAAGTTTTTTTAGATGAGTATTTATTATAAAAACAAGATAAAGACAAACAAGATAAAGAATGATCTATTTATTCTTAACTAGTAAATGTGGCAAATGTGGCTTAAAAACAATCAATATACTCGCAACTACCAAATATACAACATAAATAATCTCTTATAAATAACTTATCATATTGTTTACCGGAACAAAGGTATTTGTGAATTCAATACCATTTACGTATTAGTCAGTGCGCTTGAGGACTTTATTCAAACCGAACTTTTTTATACTGTAGTCTCTCGCTTAATTGCGCAAACAGAAACAGGCACTGCGGTGCGCAATTAACTAGGAGTGCGCAAATAAGAAAAAGATAAGAGAAAATTTAGCAAACTAAATTATTAACTCATAAACAAATCTTTATTAAGAAATATATTATGCATGACGAAAAAAGGCATGGATTGTAGGCTGATATGGATTATGCAGCTTTTCTCGTTTAATTTTCATAATTACTGAGCGTATGTTTGGTGGTAGTTGTTTGTAGCAATTCATTAATTTATCGTTGTCGTCTTTAAAAATTGCTTTAGTTTTTTGACATTTTAATTGCTAGCTAATATCGATCAGAGATAAATGTATAAATTCAATACCTAAGAAGTCTGTACCATTGTCTATCTCATCATTATTAGCTTCTTCTTCATCAGAATTGTTATCCATAGCAACTGCATTATCACTATTTTTTTCGAGAGACAAAAATCTTCAACATCTTCCTCGATTGCTTCAATATACGTTGGAGAATCTTCACAGTCAATTGATTCAAAATTGCTGATATCTTCCGAACTAATCATATTCCCTATTCCTTCAATTTCGTTCAACAGTATATTAAAAGATGTAAACTCAGCCTCCTCAGAGCATAGTTCAGTGTTAACGGGACTGGAAATCTGAAATAGTTCTGCCTTGTCGAAGCAATTTTTGAGAGATAAAGGTTGAATTGATTTCCGAACCAAATCGACATATTTGGCAGCGTCAAGAGGATGTGTAGGCATCCCGTATTTAACTCCTGCTGCACCTCTTATGCACAAGACTACTTTCTTTCAGGCATTCCTTTGTATTTACATAGAGGCTGTAATATGACAATATGTCTAAGAGATATAGATATTTATATCGCTTCTTGAGTGCCGCAATAATCCCATATCACATGATTGCTTCCAACTTGTGCAATTTGGAGGTAAGAAAGCAACTTTTACAAGATTTCGCTCAAACGCCTTAAAATGTCCAGGTGCGTTGTCTAATAATAAAAGAACAGGCGAGCCAGTTTTGCGTTTAACTTGATGATAAAAGACTTCATTGAACCATTTCCAACATATAGAGACACCAATCCATGCATTTTTCTGACAAAAATACGGTATAGACCATATTCTACCGACAATACAAGCAGATCGTGCAGCTTTTCCAATCATCGAACAGGGTATTTTGTGAGACCCTGTTGCGTTGGAGCAAATGACTAAAATCACTGTTTCTTTAGATTTTTTTTACCTCTTGTAATTACTAAGCTTTCAGTAGGCATTAACAGAGAATATCTAGAATCTAGACAGCAAGCGAAAAAAAAGTCCAGTTTCGTCCATATTGTATACATTTTCGGGTCTGTACATTTTAATAACTGAGTTTAGGTCCTCAAGTTGCTGAAGAACATGATCATCTTTGTCAACTTCAGCTCCTTCTCCAAAGAGATGCATCGATTTTAAGCCTCGACGACGACGAAAGTTTACGAGCCATTGCCAAGAAGCTTCAAATTCTTCGTCTTTTATATTTAATTTTTGCGCTATTTCTTTTGCTTTCATAATTGCTAACGATGGAGACACTTCAATCTTCGAACGACGCAATGCATCAATTCAAATATAGCTCATTTTCTATTGCTTCAAAAACAGACGATAATCGAAACACTTTTACTAGCTTCTTCTGTTGTTAGTAAACTTCTTTTTTCCATTTGATCTTGATTATTCCAGAGAGATTGAATTGAATTTTTAGTTAAATTATATTTTCTTGCAATCGCTCGTTGGCGCATCACTTTTTTCTAAGTTTAGGTATAATTTCGACTCGTTGATCTTCTGATAATCTTTTTCCTTTGCCTTTAGCCATAAGAAGTAAGGATAAAAAGTTGTGATAAGATAACAGTGAATAGACGGCTAAGTTTAAAATGAAGTTTTTTTATTATAGTTTTTTCAAAGAGACTTGACTGATAAATCGTTAAAACTAATTATTATCTGTTTAAAACAAAACTTATCATTTACTTCGATTCGAATTCGAATTCGAATGATTTTTCTATTTACATTCTGATAAAATCATTATCTCAAAATATTTAAGATAAAAACTAGTTTTTAACTTAACACACGAAACTAATAGTTACGTTTTCTGATCTAATTGCACTTTCAACAAAATACTCAGTAAACAATTGAAAAACAAATATTTTGGGTCTAAACGCACAATTAACTGGAATGCGCAACTAATTGGGTGCGCAATTAAGCGAGAGACTACTGTAGTGACAATTTAAGTGCGAGATATAGACTAAAATTACTTCATTCAACTGAAAAAAATTGCGGCGTATTTACAAATTTCATCTTTGGCATTGATGTGTTAAAAAATTGTTTTCCATGCTTAAACAAAGCATAAGATAAAAACAACATTTATTTTTTTAAAGCGCGATAAAGTGAAGGAGAAAAAATGTTTAATTGAGTCAAAAAATCATCCTTAGTTACTCGAAAATGCATTCCAGGGCGGACCTGTACTCGGCGCACCCTAAACTCGGTAAAGTTCGTAAACGAACTCGGTAAAGTTCGAAACAATATTTTTGCCGTTTAATGATTGGCTAATATTAACGAATGAAAATTTAGCACAAAAGTTTTAATTCGCGCTTCAAAAGCCAATTTTTTACCGCCTTTAAAATAAGTAAGATGACACCTTTAGCTGAGTTCATTGAAAGTATCAAAGAAGAAAAATTGGTTGATTTTTTGCAACAAAAAAGGCTAATACCACTTCAAAAAAGGAAAAACATATTTGGCGATGTAACACTTGCAAAAAGACGAAGTCAATTCGAGCAGGATTTTTTGAAAGCTCTACATCTTTTAGTGTAAGTCTGATATCTATTTAAAATGGTCTAGGCTAGATGAAGCTGTATACAGAGAATATTATGATTTTTATAATAAAATTGTTTGGGAAAATTTCTCTTTATTCTTAAAACATATTAATGACAGGTATCCTCTGTAATGTAAAATAAGTATTATAATATATTATTTACATTGAAAATGTTTCATAATATTTATATTGAACTTGTTTTTTTTTATGTACAACACAAAATATACGTTGCAAAAACTAAAAGAAGATAAGCCACAAAAAGATATGCAAAGAAGATAAGCTACAAGAAAATAACTGTAGAAGATCGATTAAAAGAAGATTAGCCACAAAAAGATATGTAAAGAAGAGAAGCTACCAGAAGATACCTTTAGAAGATCGATTAAAAAAGATAAGCTACAAAAAGAAATCTTAAGAAGAGAAGATACCTCTAGAAGATCTATTTAATCTAATATTTAATGTATATATGTTGATAATTTGTAATATTTTTTTTTTCTAAAATGTTAAATTTTTATTAAAATGCATTTACGCAAAGTTTTTGTTTTTTTATTTTCGACTTTACCATTTATGGCGCGATATTTTAGGCTTATTCTGTAAAATACCAAAAGCGAACACCGAGAATATTCGTTCCGAGAATTAACGAACTTCACCGAGTTTAGGGTGCGCCGTGTACAGGTCCGCCCATTCCAGTTAAAGAAGGTACTTAAAAACCCCTTCCAGCTAGGTTACGCTTCCAGCTAGAAGAATTATTTAATAACAAAAGTTTTTAAAGCAACTTATATATATGTTAATATTTATGTGGTTGAAAATAAAATCGTATAAATTACCTTTTTACAGATATTGCATTTTAAACTTTAAAGTCTCAATACATAGCAGCAGATTTTAGTATTTAAAAATATACGCACCTCTAATTCAGCGTTTTCAATCCAGCTTCTGAGATATCTAACTTGTAAACCATTTATTGGGTGAATTCGATAAACCTTAGTTCTAAAGATATATATATATATATATATATATATATATATATATATATATATATATATATATATATATATATATATATATATATATATATATATATATATATGTATATATATATATATATACACACACATAAATGGAAAGATTCTAAATAATTTCAACGTACATATTATAAAATAAACATTGCCATTATTAAAAGTACCCAGGTAAAAGTGTATTTATTTTTTAAACAGTAATAGTGTATTTATTTTTAAAACAGTAAATCTTTAAATGATAAATTATTAATTTATTAGTATCGATAAATATTGGCAAAATGATTTTAATTTTTAAGTACGTTTAAAAGCAGAACTTTTATCACAAACCGATTTCTTTAAATATATACAAATTAAAAAATAACGGCTTTTATGAAGCCCTTGTTTTTTAAATCATGGCATGTTTTTATGTTTATATAGTATATAGTCCAAATAACTTCCACCATCTTGAATTCCTATTCAGTCAAAAATATTATCATCCTAAAAAAAACGTTGATAATAAAAAACTGTCGTGACAAAATAAGTGATAAACTGATGATTTCAAATATTTTGTTTAAAATAGTATCATAGTCTACAATAAAGTTATTGATCAGTTTATCAAAAGGTGTGAGAGGAATTTTATCATTTATTGTGAGTTACCACCAGAGTCTAATCTAGATTATTTAAAATTTTTAATTTACATAATGTTCTAATAAATACCAATGATAACGCTGTTGGCATACGTTAAAACATTATATTATATAATTTTGTCCAAAAGGTTTGTGCAAAAAGTGTTTTTTAAGTATTTCAAAGTTTAAATGTTTCTTAAAATCACCAAGTGTTTTTAAGAAACATTGAAACTTTATTTCTTAATTTATTTCTGACTTGCTGTTATATGGCTTGTTTTTAAATTTTCCATAGGTTTTTGATTGGATTGAGATTGGGCTGTTTCATAGCCAATCAAGTAGATGAATTTTGTTCTTCTTGAAAAGGTTTTGCATTTACCTAAAATATGACAGAGTGGATTGTGCTGTTAGTAAATTGTTGTTTTCTGAATGGGCCTGCTAGGAAACAGCTTTTCTTTTAGAATTTCTATATATACTTTAGAATTATTGGTTTTGCCCTTAGGCCTAAAATGCAGCTAACCTTGATATCATGCATCAAAGCAACCCCTAACCATTGCAGATGTTTTGAGGTTGGTGGATTTTTTACATTAGACACCGTTATATGTTGGCATACCTTTGCCATTTTTGTCTTTTCGCATAGTTGCACAACGCCCTTATCTGTTGGAACTTTTATTCGAAAATATTAATATCTTCTGGTCTTTCTTTTTTCCAATATTTGTGTTTCTTGCAAAACTCCAACCTTTTCTTGCTTGTCATTCAACAGGTTTTTTTGCTGGTAGTTGAGCTGGGCGCTTCAGATTAACTTAAAAAAACTCGTCAAATTGATCTTGAAGTCACGTAGTTATCAATTTCATATTGTTTTTTTTATCTCAATTGTAAATGATGTAAGATTGGGATTTTTCTCAATAAGAGATTTCACAAATCTCACTTTCAGTTGCATTCTTTAGTTTACCACTTTGTCTCCGTGAGGAAAATGTCATTGAAATATCTACTAAGTGTCTTAATTATACTCGATTGCAATACTTTTAAAATACTTGAAATAAGATGATTTATTTTGTCGATCTAGTATTATAATTCGACCTCTTACAACTTCAGATAGTATATTGAATTGCCAAGCAACTAGAATGGTAAAACTAAACACCGGGAAAAACTACAGCTATTTATTTTTTAATTATTCATCCAAGGTTTGCCCTATTAACAATTCAAATGGTTTGATGGTAAACCTTTTTTTTTTTTTTTTTCATTTAAGAAGCCAGTCGGTACTTTTTGAGGATTCACCCCTCCCCCATCATTTTATTTGTAGAATCACCTCTGCTTTTGCATAAACAATACAAGCAACATCTGCCGACAAGTAATTTGGCATCATCTTAGTTCCACAGCTTAAAATGAAATACATCTTTATAAAATTCTTTCTTAAAAATTAGTTTGATGTATCGCCTAATTCCTAATCATTAAAAAAAAACTAAAAGGAAAATGTTGTGCTTTCATTACTATATTGTCTAACAAGGCGTATTTAAGACAAATTTTTATAAAACTTTAAAAAAATGAAATAAAAAAAAGTTGAAAAACTATTTTCTAATATTGCTTTTTTTTTTAATTTAAGTTTTAAGTTGTTTTTATTTTGTTTTTTAATTATATAATTTTTTTCTTTTTTTTTTTTTTCTTTTTTTACTTTTATGATATATTTTTAAAAGTAAAATTAGACACGATAAAACACAACATCAAACTGATTGTAAATTTAAAATAAAAAAAAGCATTATTTCTGTTTAAGTTTTTTTTTTTGTAACTATTACAATTTATAATTGAAATGTTATACGAAATTTAAAAAAAAAAAAAATGACTGACCCATATAATACAGGTAACAGAAACGCAATCAAAATATATTTAAACACTTGCTGCATGGTTGTACATTCGAAAAGGTATCCTATCACTTACTTTTTAATTTTGCTTTTTTTTTTTAAATATATAAACACCTTTTTAAATAATTATTTTTTCTTTCATACAAACTTTTAAATTTGTTTAGCCAACTGTTTTTTTTATACCTAATGACATCATTATGACATCACAGTAAGTCATGCCAAAGCAATTTGAATGAAAAGTTCCTTCACTGGCTGGTTATAACTCGGGTTGCCAGATGTCCGGCTTTTACGAAGGAGAACATATTAAAAAAATATATATTTTTTACAGTTTTAGCGCTGTATTTTCTTCCGTAAAGGCCGGACGTCTTCCGTAAAGGCCGGACGTCTGGCAACCCTAGTTATAACTCATATGCAAAATGTTTTGTTATCTTTAGCAAACTTTTTGAAAACCCATGGGTGGAATGCAAGGGCAAACTTGAGTCAAGTTCGACTTGAACTTTACTTTGTAACCATAGCGGCAGAGTATTTTTTGAGGGGAAAACCCATACTCTGTCGCTATTGGTTGTAATGTAAAGTTCAAGTCGAGCTTGACTCAAGTTCGCTTGTTGCATTCCATCCCATATCATAAAAATAAAAGTAAACCAACTGATGAAACAGTTTAGAAACTTGGACATTTCTTTGATAAAACTTGGCAAATTAAAAAACAAAGCAAAAAAAAAACGATCATAACCATAATAATACCTGGCTTTATGACCTAAGATTTGTTGATATGTATCACAATAAAACTACTCAGCTGTTATATTTTGATCCGTTTGTAAAAAAATACTAAGAACATCAACAAACAAATCACAAATAGTCATCAGATAGTTTGGTTGGATGAAACAAACTTTTACTTTTTTTGAAAAGAAAAACGCAAGGACGAACCAAACAGGAAAGAATAATGTTACAAAAGCTACAAACATACATTTGATCGCAGCAAAAACATCACAAACAAAAACAAATGTTTGATAAAAAAAAATTGGCATTATAACTCATATGCAAAATGTTTTATTATCTTTAGCAAACTTGTTGAAAATCCATGGGTGGAATGCAAGAAGAAAACCCATACTCTGTCGCTATTGGTTGTAGTGTAAAGTTCAAGTCGAGCTTGACTCAAGTTGGCATGATAAAAACTTGTGGAGGATCACTTAATGCAGATTATTGTAACAAGTAGATGTTGGTCATGTTTCACCAGTGAGTCGCATCCGGGAATCTTTTAGAAGGTTCGGTCATTGTAACAGACAATGCTCCGTGTCACGCTTTTTTGAAAAGAGGGTTTAAAAATTCTCCAGCTTAACTGTAAAGTTTAGGACTCTACAGCCCAATGTTAATACCGGTGGAAACAATCTACAGCCCAATGTTAATACCGGACTACAGGTTTACAGCCCGATGTTAATGCCGGTGGAAACAATCTACAGCCCAATGTTAATACCGGACTACAGGTCTACAGCCCAATGTTAATACCGGTGGAAACAAGCTACAGCCCAATGTTAATACCAGACTACAGGTCTACAGCCCAATGTTAATACTGGTGGAAACAATCTACAGCCCAATGTTAATACCGGACTACAGGTCTACAGCCCAATGTTAATACCGATGGAAACAATCTGGTCAATAATTAAAAGTAACGTTAAAAATGCGATTTGCAAATTATCTGTAATCCGTACTGGGTTTATGGAGCAACGAGTGCAGTATTGGGAAAGAATTGGTATTGCGGCAAAAAATACAATAATAGGATGTAATTGTTGAAGTGCTGCTCAAGAGACTACGAAATATTACGCAATAATTTCAAATATGGAAGATGCCCAAGTCGGTGTTTAACTGAATATTACAATAATTTTTAATAACACTGTTTAAATTTAAAAAAAATAAAATATTTGTGTTTTATTTATTATTCATCTGATTTCTCGAATGAATTTTTCACAAATAAAAAAAAAAAAGTTCTAACTTATATCCGATAGGATTTTTCCAGTTACCGTAAAAATCGCAACTGCCTTTTTCATCACTTTTTTATTTTATTGATAGTATATTAGTATTTATTGAAAACCAACCCATATAACCACCATTGCCAAATTAGAAACTGACCTTTAGTTAAAAGGTAAATTAAGGCAAAAAAATTAAAAATATAAAGAACTTTGTTCTGAGAATCTCATAAACTTTTAATTACAACTGTTATGTTTTCAATTAAATCTTACGTTTCTCAATTACATCTTACATTTCTCAATTACATCTTAGGTTTCTCAATTACATCTTACGTTTCTTAATTACATCTTACGTTTCTCGATTACATCTTACGTTTCTCAATTAAAACTTACGTTTCTCAATTACATCTTACGTTTCTCAATTACATCTTACGTTTCTCAATTACATCTTACGTTTCTCGATTACTTCTTACGTTTCTCAATTACATCTTACGTTTTTCGATTACTTCTTACGTTTCTCAGTTACATCTTACGTTTCTCAATTATAACTTTCAAGTTCTTAATTACATTTTGAAAAGGTGTAGTTAACGAATAAGAAGTCCAGTGGTTATAAGACGTGTTTAAGACTAAGATAAGATATTTTTGCTCAAGAACGCTGAAGTGTACGCACGTGTTTGTTTTTCTTTTCAACTGCTTGAAGAAATAAAAATTCAAAACTTATTATTATAAAATTACAGATAATAATTATGAATATAAATAAAAATACTGAAGAAATTATTAAAAAAATGCTTGAAGAGCAGAAAAATATTATATTAATGGAGACCGAAAGACTTCTCAAAGAACAAGAAAAAAACTTCGCAAAAATAACAAGCGCAAATATGAAGATTTTTACTGAAAGGTTGGATAAATTAGAACTCGATCTATCTACAAACAAAATAAAAACTTCTAATATCGAAAAGGACGTAGAAGAAATAAAAGAGAGTCTTAACTTCCAAGAAGAGTTAACTAAACAAAAGATTGCAGAAATAAATAAACGGACAGAAAGTGTAATTAAACATCTTTATGAGCAGAAACGTTTTGAATCTATAAAAGAAACAAATGCCATTAAAAACATAAGTGAGAAACTGGTTGATCTCGAAAATCGTTCACGAAGAAACAACCTGAGGATTGAAGGTGTAAATGAATTACCTGGTGAAACCTGGAATGACTGTGAAAAAATTGTGAAAGACATTTTTTCAAAAAAATTAAAAATCCCGAACGAAATAATAATTGAACGAGCTCATCGTTCAGGTCCAAAAAAAGTAGGCAAACACCGAACAATCTTCATAAAACTGTTAAATTACAACGATAAAAAAAGAATTCTCTTTAATAGTAAAAATTTACGTGGAACTGGTATTTTTATCAACGAAGATTTTGCTAAAGAAACAATCGAAACGCGAAAAAGACTCTGGGGTGAAGTATTAAACTTACGTAAAGAAGGTAAGTATGCTATTTTAAAGTTCGATAAGATCTATTGCAGAGAACTCAACAAATAAGTTTTTATCAAAAGAAACCCTTCTATAGATACACTTGTTAAAAATGAGCGGCATTAATAATTTTGAAAACCAAATCTTTAATTTTTCTAAAATAGATTGCATCTCAAATGAATTCTCAGATCCCGACACTAACTATTATTGTGATTTGCTCAGTGATTGTTCATATTATTATCCAAGTGAATTAGCAGAGTTTCTTTTGAAGGGTAATGTAAAAGCAAGCGATAAAATTAAAATTCTTCACGTAAATATTAGAAGCTTAAATCGCAATTTTGAAAATCTACTTAATTTATTAGAAAAAACTAAAAATATTTTTGATATACTTTGCTTAACAGAAACATGGATAACTATAAATGACCTAAAAAATAGTTCAAATTTTAACCTTCCTCATTTTAAATTAATATCTCAAGATAGGCAAACAAAAAAACGCGGCGGTGGAATTTTTATTTACGTGAAAAAGAACATAATGCATTACGTTAGGAATGATTTGAGTGTTTCTGACGGGTAATCGGTAAAATGCGAACTGCGAACCGCGAACTGCGAACCGGTAAAATGCGAACTTTTTTGCGAACCAAAACATTACATTTTAATGACCGCAATATAATATATTAAAGTTATATAAAACGTTTGCTATTCAATTCTTTCTTTTATTAAATAATATAATGGAATTAGATTTATTTAAATCTTTACCCGCTGAATTCGCTGTTCGGTACAAACCAAAAGCTGGTACTAATTACATTTTCTCGTGGACTAATGACAAGGATAAAGGTAAGATATGTGAATATTTATATATATATATATATATATATATATATATATATATATATATATATATATATATATATATATATATATATATATATATATAAAATTTATACAATTTATTCACATTTTAAAAGAATTAAGGATCGTTTGAAGATTAAATTGTTTTTAAATTAAAAACCAAGGAAAATTATTCACAATAACATAAAATATTATTTAGAAAATTGGCGTGCAGATGGTTACAGGTGGAGGCAAGGGGGTTCAAAGACAATTAATGGAATTAAAAGGAAGTATTTTAGAATTCTTGTTGCACAAGACACAGTAAGTGATGTGTTTGTACGTAGAGCACACTATCATGCTGATTATGCTAATTCAGTTCTGATATCATACATAGGTGATGAAGCTAAGGCTGTGCAGTTTCCTCATGGAAATGCTACTAGATGTAATAGAGATTTTATCAGGACACAGCCAGGTGTTATAAACTAAATTAAGGAAAGTACAGGTTCTGTCCAAAAAGTATACAAAGACATAATATTATCAAATACAGCTGATATAAATATAACAGCAGTTCCACGTAACATGGAACAAGTCAGTAATACTTTAAAATCAACACGCAATCAGCAGCGTTTATCTAGAGATAGTTTATACAATCTTCATGAATTAGCGTATGATACAAATTTTATTCATAATATAATAACATTTCCTGATTTGGTGGTAGTTATGTACTCAGATGAAACACTGCAAATTTTTCAGCAAGTACTGAAATTGTCTCAACTACCTCAGCAACTATCATATGATACAACTTTTTCTTTAGGCGACTTCTATCTTTCTGTTTTGCTATTTAGAGAAACTGAGTTTGACCAAAGTCCAATCATTTTACTAGCTTTTATGATACATGAGCGAAAAACACTAATGCCCCATTCCATATTTTGGCAACATATGAAATTAGTATGCCCAGAACTTGCTTTAAAGAATGTTTTTATTGTCACAGATCAAGAACGAGCTATAACAGAGGCCATCAAAGAAAGTTTTCCATCAGTTTCACATTTTCTTTGTTGGAACCATGTTTTGCAGGACAGTAAGCGATGGTTACAATTGCATGGAGTGAAGACAAAAGATGAATTAGCATATTACACTGAATGTATTCAATCTCTTCTTCGTTCTGATTCTGAATCTTCATATAAAGATAAACTAATAACAATGTTATCAGCATGGAGTCAGCCTTTTTCTGAGTACTATATCAAAACAATTCATAGTGTAGTAGACAAACTTGGATCTTGGAGAATTAAACAGTTTAACTTTCATGAAATTACAACAAATCAATCAGAAGCATTTAATACTGTAATTAAGCGACTACAGGACTGGAAAGAGGCTACTGTAGATTCAATGGCTTTAAGCTTATATAGACTTATACAATATAGTATGGTGGAAATTTATCGTGCTCGAAAAGGAACTGGCCAATATGAATTAAGAGCTGAATTGAAAGGTACTTATGAAGAATGTGATCTTCATATTCCAGATACAACAGCACCAGAACAAATTGTTCAACGTATTAAAGAAACCATCAACAATCAATTTATGCATAATACATCTAAAAGTTTAGAGTTAGTACAAGATACAACTATGATAACTTCTGTTGAAAGGGCCAATGAAATCATTAGAAATTCTCATATTGCTCTTGACCCCAAACTTGCGACCTTTATTGTAAAAGGATCTATAGAACCACGTGTAGTAAAACTGTTTCCAAAAGAGACATGTTCATGTCCAGCTGAAAGTAGATGTTATCATATATTGGCAGCACGCCAGGCTATTGGTCTATCTGTTACAAACAACAACAAAAAACAGGTTAATCTAACACAACTTCGTCGAAATACAAGAAAAAAATCTGACAAAACAGGAGGAAGAAAAAGACCAAGAACACTTGATATTGAAGTTATTCCAGCAGGAGATGCTAATCCAGACGAAATAAAAGATTTGATAGCTAAAGTTAATGCCTTAAAAAAACATGATATATGTGTATATATATATATATATATATATATATATATATATATATATATATATATATATATATATATATATATATATATATTATATATATATATAATTTAAATATATATATATATATATATATATATATATATATATATATATATATATATATATATATATATATATATATATATATATATATATATATATATATATATATATACACACATATATAGATAGATCATGTTGATAACAACTTTAAACAAAAGAAAAGTAAACAAAAACTATAAATAAAGTTTTTACATAGTTTATATAAATACATATATATAATATAATTAATAAAGTACGTATAATATATAAAATATATTTTTAACTAATTATATTTACTTATCAAAACAGAGTGTAGAATATATATTTATAGTAACAAAAGGTGTACCTTGAATGTTGTTTTTTTTAATATCATATCCCTTTTTTATGAATCTTCGTTATAATATATGAATCTGTAGAAGAAGTATAAACAAAGAACTATTTCTTCATTATACATTTTTTACAGATTTTTCTTACTATTCACTTTTTCATCTTAAGTATCTGTTTTTTTCGCAGTTTTCTTTTTTCATACTAGTTTTACTCAATTTGTTTTTTTAAATAAATGCTTTTGCGTGTAGTCCTTAAAATATTTTGGAAAATAAACAATTTAACGGCAAACGGAAAATAAAGTATTACATCATTAACAACCAATAGAACCATGGTTCGCAAAAAAGTTCGCATTTTACCAGTTCGCAGTTCGCGGTTCGCAGTTCGCATTTTTACCGACTACCTATTTCTTCATTATACATTTTTTACAGATTTTTCTTACTATTCACTTTTTCATCTTAAGTATCTGTTTTTTTCGCAGTTTTCTTTTTTCATACTAGTTTTACTCAATTTGTTTTTTTAAATAAATGCTTTTGCGTGTAGTCCTTAAAATATTTTGGAAAATAAACAATTTAACGGCAAACGGAAAATAAAGTATTACATCATTAACAACCAATAGAACCATGGTTCGCAAAAAAGTTCGCATTTTACCAGTTCGCAGTTCGCGGTTCGCAGTTCGCATTTTTACCGACTACCTATTTCTTCATTATACATTTTTTACAGATTTTTCTTACTATTCACTTTTTCATCTTAAGTATCTGTTTTTTTCGCAGTTTTCTTTTTTCATACTAGTTTTACTCAATTTGTTTTTTTAAATAAATGCTTTTGCGTGTAGTCCTTAAAATATTTTGGAAAATAAACAATTTAACGGCAAACGGAAAATAAAGTATTACATCATTAACAACCAATAGAACCATGGTTCGCAAAAAAGTTCGCATTTTACCAGTTCGCAGTTCGCGGTTCGCAGTTCGCATTTTACCGACTACCTTTCTGACGAGAATAAAGAAATTTTAACGATTGAAATTGTAAACAATCAAACAAAAAACATTCTATTAAGCTGCTGTTATCGACCACCTGATGGTCTGGGCAAAAATTTGAGCATTTTTTTTTGAACAAAACATATTCAAAAAAAGCACAAAAGAAAAAAAAAAAGTTTTTGTTATTGGAGACTTCAATATGAATACTTTTTCTTATTATGAGGATTCTAAAGTTAAAAAGTTTTACTTTTACGCAATATTTGAATTAGGAGCAGTTCCTTTAATTAATCGACCGACAAGAGTATCAATAAACACAACTACTCTTATCGATAATATTATTACAACCGATATCCTTAATAAAAACATACAAAAAGGTATCTTAAAAACTGATATTTCCGATCACTTCCCTATATTTTTAACATTTAACTGTAATTCCGAAACTATGATTAAGACAAGCAAAAAAATTAGACTGCGTCATATTAACAAAGACAATATTAATCATTTTAAAGAGCAACTATCATTGCTCCATTGGAAACATATAAACTTTAACGATGACGCAAACTCTATATATGATAATTTTTTCAACACATTATATCCTATCTACGATGCAAATTTTCCATTCATAGAAAAGACAATAAATCCAAAAAAAACATTCAATCCCTGGATTACCAAAGATTTTAAAAAATCATCGAAGATCATGCAGAAACTGTATATAAAGTATTTAAAAACAAAGTCCCCAGAAAATGAAAAAATATACAAAGATTATAAATATCAGTTTGAAAAAACTCGAAAAAATTTGAAAAAAAATTACTACTCTAGCTTAATCGATAAGTATAAAAATAACTCCAAACGTACATGGGAAATAATAAAAGAAATAAGCGGAAAACAAAAAGACTGCTCAGGTTTCCTTCCCCAGGTCATCAAGGTTGATAACAGAATCATCTATGAACAAAAAGAAATAGCTTGCGAGTTTAATAGCTTTTTTGTTAAAATTGGTCCTGAACTGGCCAATAAGATTCCAAAGACGCAGGCTATATTTAGTGATTTTCTAGTACCGATGACTGATTGCATTACATCTGGAGAGTTGTCTTCTAAATTATCATTTGAAGAATTTGAAATAGCATTTAAAACTCTGAAAAAAAATAAAGCTACTGGAGCAGATGACATTAATGGTAATATAATTCTAAACTGTTTTGAACAATTAAAAGATATTCTCTTTAAAGTTTTTAGCGCATCAATTAATCAAGGAATTTTTCCTGAACAACTAAAAATTGCAAAAATTACCCCAATTTTTAAGGAAGGTGATAGGGCTATTATTAGCAACTACCGACCCATTTCTATCTTACCTATATTTTCAAAAATATTAGAAAGAATTATGTATAATAGAGTCTATGATTATTTTCAATGCAATAACCTACTATATAGCAATCAATTTGGCTTTAAAAAGCACAACTCCACGGAACATACAATCATTCAATTTGTACGCGAAATTTCAAAATCCTTTGAAAATTCCCAATACACACTAGGTATCTTTATTGACCTATTTAAGGCTTCTGATACAGTAGATCACACTATATTACTGCATAAGCTTAAATATTATGGTATAAACAAAAAAACTTCAAGATGGTTTGAAAGCTACCTATCAAATCGTAAACAATTTGTTTCTTGTAAGGATGATTGCCAAAAAAATTTATTAGATATATCTTGCGGTGTTCCTAAAGGCTCTATATTGGGACCCCTCTTATTCTTGATTTACATTAATGACTTAAATAAAGCTTCAAATCTACTAAGCATTATGTTCGCTGATGATACTAACCTATTTCTTTCTGATACTGACATCTCCAAACTGTTTTGTAATATAAATGACGAACTTAAAAAAATATCTAGCTGGTTCAAGTGTAACAAATTAACTCTTAATCCTAATAAAACAAAATGGATTATTTTCCACCCGCTTCAAAAAAAACGTTACCTACCCTTAAATCTGCCTAAAATATTTATTAACCAAATTGAGATTAAGAGGGACTCTGTCATAAAGTTTTTAGGAGTCTATCTTGATGAGCACATTACATGGAAACAGCATATTGATCACGTATGTACCAAGATTTCTAAAAATATTGGAATTTTATATAAATCTAGAGATTATCTAAATAAAAATAGTTTGACCCAACTCTATCATTCGTTCATCCATAATTATATAAATTATGCAAATATTGCTTGGGGAAGTGTTGGAAAGAATAAGTTGAAACGTCTTTTTTCACGTCAGAAACACGCAATTCGTATTATTAATTTTTCCGATCGCTTTACTCATTCGAAACCTTTATTTAACGAAATGAGAGTACTTAATATTTACGAAGTGAATTTATATAATACTCTATGTTTCGTATATATGTGGAAAAATAACTTATCTCCTGACGTTTTTAAAAATATTTTTACTTTGAAACCAGACAATAAGTATGCACTGAGAAATAATAATTTGCTAAATCAAGTTTTATGTCGAACCAAGTTTAATCAGCTTTGTATTGATTATCGTGCACCTAATCTTTGGAATAAAGTTATTTTGCAAAATTTTGATCTACCTTCCTCTTTTTCTATCTTCAAAATTAAGCTTAAAAATCTAATTCTTTATATGGAGAACCTTTTTCTATATTACTAGTGTTATGGGTTTGTCTACCTATTATTAAAACTAAGTTTACCTATTTATATAGTTACATTGAGATTGTACTGAAACTGATAGCTGTGAATAGATGTATAAATATTTATTATTTGAGTTCGTATTATATATTGCTTTATATTATATATTGCTAGTATGTATAAATTTTCAGGTTTATTTTATCTTTTATTTAGTATTTGAAAAAACAAAAAACAAAAAAATTTTATTATGGTTTTTATAACACGGTTTTGTAAAAATTAAAAAGTAAAAAAAAAAAAAAAAAAAAAAGAAAAAAAAAAAAAAGAAAAAAGAAATTAAAAAAATAAAAATAAAATAAAATCAATAAATTATGTATAAATGCGAATGTGTATCTGTGTATGTATGTATTTATGTATGTATATTGGTACATATATGGGTGTATGGGTGTATATGTGCTGTTAGTATGGGTGTGTGTGTGCTTGCAGTCTATGTATATAAAAAAAAAATAAATAAATAAATAAATAAAGAATAGTGCTGCATAACCTCTGGCGTAGGAACACCCAACTATAACTGCTTGGCAATCGTTGGGCTGGATTGGGATTCGGTGATACCACCTATGATCGCTTGTATGATAAAGATGCAAACACAATATATACTTAAAAAAAAAAAAAACTATATTAGAACAAGAGCTAATTATCAACAAGAATTCAAGAACCCCACTCTGATTTTATTTTCTACAATTTTAATGCAAGAAATGTTCAATTCAATTTTTTTTTTTTAATCTATTCGATTTATATTAACATTCCAAACACACTATGACGTCATCAAACACATCGATAATTATACTGAAGTATATTATTTTTAACTATTCTATGCAACGGTTTATATAATTATTTATCGGAACAGATCCAATTTAAAAGCTAATAAACATTTACAAAAAATCAATAAAAATGAATTCATTTAAAGCGTTTTGATTCCAGCGGTTCTCTACGACAAGACCTCAAGGACTTCTTCGAGTTTCCGCATTCTTTATTCCTAATTTTTAATGTTATATTTATTGTCATATTTCTATTGTTATATTTAAGACGTGTTTAACACTACTAAAACACATCTTGTGCTCACTGGTAATGTAAAAGCAATAAAAACTTCTATTTTTTTCCTTTTACTTTTTGTTTTTCATTTTTTACATCTGTATTGTTTGAGAATTGTCAACAGGAATTACGAATCTCACTGGTAATTGAGATATCTTTTAGACATGAATTAAACTTCAAAATTGAGTACGTTTATGCTTATTTTAAAGATGCTTTCAAGTCTGAAAATAAACTAACCATTAAACTTGTTTTTTTCCCCTCTCCTCTTATGTGAGGGGAATAAGTTACTAAGTTACCACCCCCTCTTCCTTCTTAATGTGAGGGAATAAGTTGCTGAGCTCTATTGCTGATCTAAACTTCCTCGATGTGTTTAAATTCATCTAATCATATTTTTGTATTCGAAAGTTACAATTTTGTAAAGTTCTCTTAATCTCTTCAAAATGGGGAGTTTTAACTATACATAACTGATGATATACCTATTACTCAAAATCAAGTTGAGATTCGTCCCTACCCAGCCGGCAAATAACGTTGAAATAACGTTGAAATATCGTTGAAACCTAACGTTGAATTAACGTTGGTTTAACGTTTAGAATAAAAGTTTTTTTCAACGTTGATTTATCAACGTTAAATCAACGTTAGGTTCAAACGTTATATCAACGTTGATTCGACGCGAAAAAACGTTACAATAACGTTGAATTTACGTTGATTTAACGTTTAGAATGAAAGTTTTTTTCAACGTTGATTTATCAACGTTAAATCAACGTTAGGTTCAAACGTTATATCAACGTTGATTCGACGCGAAAAAACGTTACAATAACGTTGAATTTACGTTGATTTAACGTTTAGAATGAAAGTTTTTTTCAACGTTGATTTATCAACGTTAAATCAACGTTAGGTTCTAAAGTTAAATCAACGCAAAATACGTTACAAGAACGTTAAATCTACGTTGAAACACCGTTTAGAACGAATTTTTTTCAACGTTAAATTAACGTTATATCCAAACGTTAAATCGACCTTCAATTGACACAATCGTGACAAAATATATTAATATATTTTGCCCATATACGTTGTTTCAACGTAAATTGAACGTTATTAAAGCGTTTATCCTTATCCGATGATAAAAACTTTGATCACCATTGAAACTTATTATACATATCCAATAGTTGCTGTACAACTCTATTGGACTATAAATGTATATTATGCGTATTAAATATACTCATAGTCTAGAGTTAGACTATTTTTAGTTAGACATATTAGTAAAGAAAGAGATAATATTTGTTACTCTTTATGTTATTCTTTATGATATATATATATATATATATATATATATATTTAAATATTACATATATTTGAATAAAATTTATAATTTCTTTTCTTTACCGCCACCTTTTCGAAATGGAGCGTATTTTAGGAAATCAGACAATACTCCATTAATCAAATTTTCTGTCGCTCCATCGTATTTAATAGTAGAAGCTGTAAAAATAAGAAAATATAAAGTAAAAATTAAAAAAGGAAGATTTAAAATAATATAATAAATTGAAAAGTTTCACATAAGTTATAAAGATATACCTTTAACAACGCCATATAAATTAGTGTTCTTAAAACAAATTTTGCCATTTTTGCCTTTCATACTCATGGTGGCCATAAAACTGTTTGAAAATATTCTAAATTTTTAAAAGATAATATAACTGTGAAATGATTATAAATGAATAATAATTTTTCAAATATTTAAATTGAATTCATTGTGAAATAATTTTTTCTAAAATCATTAAACGAATATTTTTTGTAAAAAATAATTATGAATGAGATAAGAGCTATCAGTTAATAACCTCAGCATAATTTTGTGTATTTTATCTTTTAAAGATGTTCCACCAATTAATTGTAGCTGATTTACCTACAAAAAACAAAAAGTAAATCTAACATTATGGTTTGGGTCAAATATGATATCAAAACTTTGAACTAATTCAGATCTCTGAGACAAATTTTAATAAAGTGATTCAGGATTTTTCTAGGACAAATTCTAAATCCCAAGAATTTTCTTGGACAATTTTTTTCCTATAAAATTCCAGAATTTGTTGATGTTTTCAAGGACCTTTGTCCATCTTAATAATGTTTTTTTATCTAAAGGGTATAATAACTAAATAACTATTTAATAAAATACACAACTCACCCACAATAAACGCACTTTTTCGTCATCTAATGTTTTATCCACTTCAGTTAACTCCACTTCTGATGAAATAAACCTTATTTGGTTTACAAATTCACTATTGGAAGCAGGCTCAATCAATCTGTTTTGATTTCGCATCTCATTTCTTATATCGGTAAGTAGATACAACACTCTCTTTTGAAACTCTACAAATTTTATTAAGTTTTACAAAATAATTTGTATAGTAAGGAAATTCCTCAGTTTTCAAAACTTTTAAATGTTATATGAAATTTATATTTATACAAAATAAATAAATTTATTTAAAAATATAAAATATCATACTGCCCTCAGACATTGG